GTAATTATAGCCGTTGTTAAATACATGACTTTTGGCTCTATTTTGGTCATTTTAGCATCTTTGGGCTTTAGTTCTGGTCTTTTTAGATCTATTTTTTGCTTTTTTGTTGCATTTCTTGGTCATTTTAAGCCTTGTTTTTGCCTTTTTTTTAGCCTTGGTTTTCATGATTTGATGTTTGGTGTTTTTTGTAATTTTGAGCCTTGCTTAAAGTTATGGTTATGGTAATGCAACAGAGAAAGAGAGTCTGTGGACACAGCCAGAGACTTTAACACAAAATATAAAACAATCAGTAATTAGCATAGATCATGCGCTAGCATACTATGCTAAAGTGAGTAATTATAGCCAACAGAAGTGTTAAATTCTGGCTATTAACCGGAGTTGCTGCTGCCATGCAGGGGGGGACCAGACCCAGACTGGAGAAGGCGGAGATCCTGGAGCACACGGTGCTGTTCCTGCAGAAGGCGGCGGGCGCCCCCCCCCCCCCCGGGGCGGGGGGGCCGGGGGCAGCCCTTCCAGGACGGGTTCTCCTCCTGCCTGCAGAGGGCCTCCCAATTCCTGGGGCAGAAGTCCAGGAACGGGATCCCCACGGGGGCCACGGGGGACACGGGGGGCCGGGGGGCCCACAGGGGACCCCCACAACAGGCCCGGGGGAGGACCAGGATGGAGACCAGGATGGAGACAAGGATGGAAACCAGGCCTGAGACCAGGCCCCATATCAGGCCAGAAACCAAGACGGAAACCAGACCTGAAACCAGGCCAGAACTGGTAACCAGGATGGAGACCAAGCCGGAAACCAGGCCAAAGATCAGGCTGGAGACCAGGATGGAAACCAGGATTGAAACCAGGATGGAAACAAGGCCAAATATCAGGCCAGAGATCAGGCCAGAACTGGAAACCAGGCCGGAAACCAGGCCAAAGATCAGGCCAGAGACCAGGCTGGAAACCAGGATGGAAACCAGGCCAGAAGTGGAAACCAGGATGGGAACCTGGCCAGAAACCAGGCCTGAGATCAGGCCAAAGATCGGGCCAGAGACCAGGCTGGAAACCAGGATGGAAACAAGGATGGAAACCAGGCCCCATATCAGGCCAGAAACCAGGATGGAAACCAGGCCAGAAACAAGGTTGGTAACCAGGATGGAGACCAGGCCCGAGACCAGTCCTGAGACCAGTCCGGCCCCCAAAGGTTGCCCCCCCCAGGGCCAGACTTTGTGGAGACCTTGGCCTTGATCCCGGATAGAAAAGGCCCAGAACTTTCCGCGTTTCCATGCGTTTTTGTTGTTTTCTAACCAGCCTGTAAACTCTGTAAAAAGAATCCCTCCTTTTCCTTCGAGTGTCCGTAGGGTTGATTCACTCCCATGTAACTCCTATGTA